GTTGGGAAACGGGGGGGGGGGGTGCTCGATGAGGGCTTGGCTTGGCTCGGCCGGGGCTTGATCGGGCAGGCTTGACGTGGGCTCGGCGGAAGAGGCGCGGGTGGCTTTCTTGCCGTGGATACAAACTCGACCTGGGCCGGCCTGAGATGAGGTTTGACTCGGAGCATTTTTGTGTGCGAAACCTGACGTGTCGGGTGGATCTCTGGGGATTTACTTGGCGTCCGATGCGGGATGGCGTGATTTTTTTCTTGTTTTGAAAACATGACGGCGATGAGATTGCAGGCAACCGGTGAGAGTTGTGACGAAGGGGAGCTGAGATGACTCGTCACTCGAGTCAAGTTGAGAGTGACGGCGGTGTGCCGCGAGCGCGGGTTGGAAGTTTGCACCGGTTCATGTGGTTGCCTGCATGTCGTTGCGATTACGGGCGAGAGATGCCGGGACGTGTTTTGCTGGACACTGGCCACGCGTTGCAGAGACGCTGGTGAAGTCGTCGTGTGGTGTTTATCTGGTGGCGCGGGCGAATATGTATCCAACTTGGACCGTCTCTTCAGAGTGATTATATCTGGCAACCCTTTGTTGCTACAGTCTGTCGAGGGAACCACCAGACTGCCGAGTTGTGTATTTACATGCCACGTTCATCATGAGGCCTTGGCGCAAGCATGTCCATGGACTGCTTCTAGGTCTGGTATTGCTTATTGAGTACGGAGTTGCAGTGTGTGTGCTCCGTCAGAGAAATGCCGTCTTCAAAGTTGCTAGTCATGTTTCTTCCGTGTGTCAATCTCAAGCTGGTCGGCATCTGCTTACCAACTGACTGCTACCCGAGCCAGAGGCAAAGTCATTCGGATACATTGATCCCTCGTCCAGGTCTTGTTACGAGTTTCAATTTCTAGGCGTTTTCGAGGCGATGCTGACTCTTTATTGATAGCTGCGCACAAGGCTGTCCATCGGAGAGTTACAGCCCCGGACCAGCTCCTGGGTTGAGAGTGAGAGCGGGTTCTGCAGAATGTCAACGGTGCTATACTTGCCGATAGCAGCAGCGCCAGCTCGTATGTAGACACGCGCCACGTGGCCGGCATCAATCCGCTGGCATCTGGCAGGCTCAATGAGGCTGCACAGCGACAAGGAAGGCAAAGGGCATGCAAATCTAGTCGGGGGGACGCCATTCAGACTCCCAGCTGGCTTGATCAACCCCCGGGCAACGGCAGCTTCACAAATTCCCAAGCTAAAGTGTCCTTGGTCATCTCGACAATCAGACCGTAACAGTGCAAGCGTCAACAGGCTGCGCCAGGCAACGCAATGTAATGCTGGAACGCGCAAGAGACTGAACATGGTTCGCAACAAGGTCCCCCTCCCAACAAGTCATTTGCACCAGACGGCGAGAATCGCCCCGGGGATGCGCATATTGTAGCTGATTGCGTAGCCCACAACCGAACAAGCCAAGCCAGACGTTCATATTCCAGGCGGGTGGTTGGCGGTGCCTACATGTTCGGCAAGTGTAGATTATCCAAGTCCATGTAAAACGCTATGGGCTGCCGGTACCCCGAGACCGGTGTTTGCGAGATGGAAGAGCTTGACAACCATGCAACCAAGTTGAAAAGGCGGCCTTGCTGATGTCATGGCAGCGACGCGGTGCCAGGAGCGTCGAATGCTGCAACGCTGCGCCTTTTCTAGCTCACTGGTGTCCTGGTCTAGCTGCATGTGCCGAGTCTGCCTTTGGGTGTCGGGCCGCAGACATTTCCATGTATCAATGTTGGACGGCTTGGACAGGACGGCGAATTCGTTCCCGACGAGGGCTACCAGTGAAGATGTTGACTAGACTTTGACGTAGGGATGGAAGAAGCCGCCTCGGAAAGCATGTTTATCAACGTGGGATTTAATCAACAGAGAGAGTCAGGTGCAGTAGAAAGGAAAAAGTATATCGACAAAGGCAGCATGGCCTCATCTACCTAGATAAGCAGAAACTCCCAACGCCTCTGCAATGCAAAAGCAAAAACTTTTCGTCTTCTTTTTTTTCTTTTCCCCAATCCCGAAATGTTACATGGCTCCCATCATCAAGCTCTCCAGCATACCCCCCGTCTGGCAAGCAACCTGCGCCCTCTGAACCTCACTCTTGACCCGTCTATGAAGCGTTCTGAAGCCCTCATGCAGCTCCGCCGACCCGCCGACATACTCGGCATACATATCAATCAGATGCAGTCCCACCTCGACGCAGACACTGACATACCGGGGATCGCAAATATGCCCGCACACCCACTTCAGCACCGGTTCAACCCTCTGCTCGTCCCTGTTCTCGAGCGCGTCTCGCACGGCACTGCGGTGGCGCAACGCCAAGAGCAGAGTCAGCACGTTGAGAGACGTGTGGTCCGGCGTCTTGGGGTCGAGCACTTGGTCCAACGCACGAGCGTACCGCGCATGTCGCAGATCCCTCTGCCAGGGACGCTCCCTTTTCCGGGTCCCCCGCGGCTCGTTGGCAATGACCACGTCGGCGCCCTCTCCCACCATGTCCAGCCTGTTGGCGGCTTCGATTCTCCGCTTGCGCTTCGACTTTTTCGCATCATGGGAGGCGATGGCGCCCGCGACGAGGGCGGACATTTCCTTGTCCCGCTCGCGTTCGCGGCTCGCCTCCGCGCCAGTGAGACGCGTCTTGATGCTCAACACGCCAGACTGCATGCCCACCGCCAAGTGGCGGTCGCTGGCGTCGCTCCCATCCCCGGACGGAATGACCTGTAGAGACAGGATGGGCGACTGGTACTTGACGCTGTTGACGACGTTCCACCCCGTCGTCTCAAAGACTTTGACGTGGCCCTCCAGACCACCCGTCACCAGCCGCCGACCGTTGGACGCGAGACTCAATGAAGTCACCGTCTTTTGATGATTGGTAATCATGTGAAGTGGTCTGGCAGCAACCAGGTCCAAGACACTGACTGAATTTCCCGCCGCGGCAAGAACAGTCGTCCCCGACGGCAGGGACAGCACGTCTTCGACGGGAGCCGCGTGCTTGAACGTCATGACGGCCGAGTTGCTACCCGTTCTGGGATCCCACAGCTTCACCGTCGAGTCATAACTTCCCGACACGACCATGCTGGACATGGTCCCGGGCATAAAGTTTGCGCACCGCACGTAGTCGCTGTGCCCGACAAACGTCGTCGCCGCCTCATTGCTGGGCAGATCCCAAAGCCGCACCGTCCTGTCGTCGCTGGCGCTGAGAAGCGTCGTCAATTCCGTGGGCGAGAATTTCGTCGTCCAGACGGGCTGCTTGTGTTCGGTCCACGTCTTGAGGATCGCTCGTGAGTTGACGTCAAAGACTTGCATTTTGCCCGTGTCATCACCAGCCACAAGGACCTTGCCATCCTTGCGAATATCCCCGCTTCTGGCGACATCGCCAAATCGTGTAATGGTCTTGAGGAGTTTGCGTGTGCGGTTGGAATAGATTTGGACGCGGGTGCCGGTCGTGACTACGAAGGAGTCGCTGTTGTAGGAGATGTTGGTGACGGGGTAGCTCGTGGGCGAGGGGATGAGCAGTTGGTTTTTAAACGTTTTCCAGTACCGCCGCTCGGCCGTTACTGGAGAGGGCCCAGATGGCAGCTTGAGCTGTGGGAGAGGTCCCACCTGAGCTGCTGCCATATTCGTTGTCTTGCGATTATCGCGATGTGTGAAAATTGTCTGTGAGATCGCTTGCCATGTCAGTGTGTTTGGTAGCCATGATTTTTTTTTTTTTCTGCCGCTTCCAGATTCAATGCGGTCAGACGAAGCGGAAAGGCCCCGCGTGGCAGCCTTCCCATAATAGGACTAGCGCGTCTCCCAACCTCTTGTCCCCGCCAGCTCACATACTCCGTATACAGAATTCAAGCGCCAGGATAAACTTGTATCAAGCAGGAGTTTGACAGCGACAATAAATGCAGCTAAGAATATGTTCAATTTCATATAGTCCTATAAATGCTTACTGCCACCCGGATATGTGCTTGGGTGTATTTCAGAAACGCCGATTTTTTCTCCCAACATGCAAAACTATATATATGCAATCCTCATCTTTATATTCAAACAAATCCATCGTCAGACTCTTAATATCCGCCCCGCCTCCTAGATCGTCCAGCGCCAATGTCAATTCGTTGCATTTCCTCCATGAGCGCCAGTTCCCCTCCGCCATTAGCACCGCTCATGATGGGCAGAGGAATCTTCGCAGGAATCGGTGGTCCTGACCCATAATGCGGTGGTGCATAGTTCTCATTAGGGTAGTCATATAGGCCCCCAGGATGGGCTCCACGCGTGGGTGTATACTGTACTTGTCGCTCCTGATAGTTATCGGGAGAAATTGGAGCTAGCGGGCTTGATGCAGCAGGGGGCAGGCTGTTATGGCCAGCAGACGCTCGAGCCTTCTTTTGAAGGCGATTACGGCCACTTGTTGGAGGAGTACGTGAATCTTCTGCTTGGCTATATGAGGGCGGTGGTTGTTGTTGTTGTTGCTGTTGCTGCGTTATTACAGAATCTGGACGGGCAGCAATGCGAAGAGGTCTCCGCCCGCTCGGGGGCATTGGCTGCGCTCCTGATGGTGACGGCCTGGCACGAGGTTCGGGTGATGCCTGTTTCCTCCTCGGCTCTGGCTCCGGAGCCCACGTCTCCATGGGAAGATGATCAGAAGGGTCAATCTCTCGGCCATCATGAGTGATGATCTTGGCATTTGGGTCCACCCGCCCTACGCGAGAGTCGGCAGCTCCAGGCGAGCCCATGGCGGGGTTGAATGCGTCGTAGGAGTCCGGTCCGAAAGGAACGTCAGACTGCCTTCTATTCTCTGATGGCGGTGGTGCCGGGCTGACGGATTTGCGGCGAATGGTGTGCTCCAGGTTGGGATTTGGGCTTGGGGAGTTTCGTGGTTTAGTTGCCAGTGGTTCAGGTCGGCTGCTGTAAGTCACCATGGCGCGCCCGTCGTGAGACTGAGGCGTGTACGAGTGTGGAGAAGTGGTGTAGGACGGCGGCCCTTCACTTCGATGGCGGCCTCGTGGTGGAGTCGCGACTGGTTGTGTATACCGACTATCATAGCGTCGGTCCTCATAGCGTCGGTCCTCGTATCTCCGGTCAGCAAACTCCTGTGATAGCGCCAGGTCAACTCCAGGAGACAGAGACGGAGGAACTGCTGGTGTGCCATAGTTGGGTGGGTTCCGGATGTGTACGAGGTCGAAATCGCCATGCCTGCCGGGTCGCTGTAACTGTGACGCGTGTGGCACTTGAGACAAAGTATTCGAGTATTCCTGAACAGACAGAGGTGAAACTGGAGCAGGGTATGCGCCATGGTCCTGGAGACGATCTCTAGTGCTTGTGTGTACAGGAGATTCAGTCACATTTTGAGTCATTTGGCTGGCAGCAGTGTCCAACGCCATTTCACTCTGGTAGACCGCTGCCCGGGAGCTGCGTCTGTTAGACCCCGTAGGCGAGTCTGGAACATCTTCAACGGTGGGCTGCATGGATCTGTGCTGCGGGCTATAGCCAGGGCTTTGTGACTGGTATCGCGACGAAGAAGATTCATAGGGCGAATCGTTTCGGGGCGCGATAGGAATTGGAGCTGATGATGTTGGGTCATAGGGTTTGAATACAGGCTGCCCGGGGTATGCCGCTATTGAGTGTCTGTGAGCCTCGCTCTTAAGAACGTCCTGTCTCATTGGCACCGGAGACTTTTGCGGCGACACGTCGTACGAGCCGCGATGTGAAACTTCTGGCCCGGCACTGTTTTGCCTGGATCGATGGGCCGGAGGCGGTGGGGGTGCTTCATCCTCAAACGGCGGTTGTGAGCCCATCTCTTCAGGCAGCTCGTGGAGCTCGGTAAACGAACCCTGGGCGGAACGAGGATCTGCCTGGTCGTAGGGAGATGGTTGAGCCCGTTGCAAAAAGCCACGATCGTCTTGGTATCGTGCCGGAGTACCATATGACTCTCTCGAGCGATGGCCATGGCGGTGGGCCGAATGTGGTGAAGGTGTATAGTACTCGGCTTGCTGTCTGCTGCCTTGCGGGTGAGGAGGTGTGCTGTACTCGACTGACTGAAGGGGTGACTGGCTGGGAACAAAGCCAGAATGTGAGGCAGACTTGCTGTGTGACCGAGGGGTAGCTTGATGCTGATGGGGTTCCGGCTGTGAGGCAACTGCAGCTGGGGGAGTGACGGGTGCCTCTCCTGTGACGGGGTCTGACGGCAAAGGTCGCCTCTTGACGGGAGTTTTTGGCTTGGCTAAGCCTGTAGCATCTTGCTCAGTAGCGGTCTGCTGCCTTTGCTTGGCTGCGGGTTTCTCAGGACGTGGCCTGGTATCGTAGAATGTGATTTCAACTCTGATTTCGCCAGCGTATTTGCCTCTGCAAGTCAAGCCTTGCCACATGTCGTTCTGGCCGCCTCCCGGGACAATAATACCCTTCAAGTCAATCCACGACTCTCCAATCAGATCGGTCTTCTTGTCGTCGGTAAAAATAGATATCTTGAGCTGGTAGTAGTCCGGTGAGTCGTGGACCGTAAATCGAAGCTCTTGGTCCCTACATGGTCACGGTCAGCCTGTGCGAAGAGGTGAACTGCGAGAGTGCTCTGCAGACACGCCAAGTACATACCACTTGGGAGTTTGGCCTCCTCGGATATCTGTCGTCGTCTTCTTGGCCTCCTTCCCTAGCCTCGCAGCACAGTAAGGGTCCTGCTTGCCAATCGTCTTTCTGTTGGGCAAGTTCTTGGCCCTGTCGACAATGGCCACTAGAGTACCGATTACGGGCCCGTCAACCGACATGTCGGCAAAGATGCCAGCCGTGTGAGCGCCATTGAGGGCAAACGACTTGGTCTTGGTGGCCATTTCCGCAGACGTGATTGCGTCTATTGTCGGAGAGCTCGAGGTGTTTCAACTTGGAGCTCCAGATCCGGTGCCGCCCTTCCCTGTGGTGGTTAGCCGATGAGACGATGGCTGTTCGGCCTGTTTACGTCGGTTGGGTCAATAAGAAAAGAGCGGCAGGGACAAGAGAGCGAAAGCCCAGCAATGGTGCAAGAGTATTCAAATCATGTATAGAAGCGGAACAAGGAATGTTGTCCGTGTCGAAAACGGCGAGCACAATGTCCTGATGCAGGAGACGAAGGACAATGGCATGCAAGGAAGGGAAAAGGGAAGAGAAGGCGTTGTGCTGAGCAGGCGATGAGCTAAGAATGAGAGGCGTGAGGCGCCTTGTTATGCATCAGCTAGCAAGCGATTCGTCGAAGGGCAAGTTTCAACGCACCTGGCAGCTGCAAGCTGGGTGCCGGCTGCAGGGTGCAGGGTGCCAGGGTACGAGAAGCTTCAATCAATGCTGAGTGGTTGGGCCGCCGGATGCGGCGCTGCAGTGCGTGTGCTCTGGTGGGCCAAGCACAGTTGAAGCCCCCTGCAAGCCTGAACATCAGCACACTGAACTGGGTGGCATAGTGCGGTAGTGGGGCTGCTGGTGGCTGGGCTGCTCACGGTGTTCAAAACCCGGTGGCTGGTGGCTGGGTTCAAGGCTCCGGCCCGGTTTAATATAACAAACCAGACACAATGTCAAGTGCCGCTCGAGGGGGAGGAGAGAGAAACATGGAGTTCGAGGTTCTCAAGTTGGCCCTGCCAAGATCCCTGGTCTCCCCTGGCTCATGCGTCCTGGGGTGCCAATTGCTTACAAGTTGCTGATACCAAAGTTTCAATGTAAACGCTTTCTGCAGTGGACATTCAACAACATCCGCACGTTTGAAATTAGCCCATTCAGGAATAGACCATCAGGTTTCTGGCCTTGGCTCGATCGCTGTGCCCCACCGAGCGCAGCGGAGTTCCAAGATCCAGGGCGAATATGCAAGGTTAACGTGATTCAATATTGCACTTCCCCCAGCAACCGCGCCAAAAAAGCCATCAAGCTCGCTCGAGACAAAACAACGATCAATACAATCGGCCCCCCGATCGACAACCAATCGACCCAGCAAGCGAGTCGAACTGCCTTCCCCCCTCCCATTCTTGCGGCTGCACCGAGGATCAGACATCCATTTACTCCTGCAGCGCCTCCATGGCTAGCGTGGACGCTGACGTCGCCCTCGCGCCGTTATGCACAACATGGGCCGCCTTGCCCCCGACACACCAATCAGACGGTCTGATGCTCGTTGATTTGTGCATGAGCGTGTGTCGACAGATGTCAACTGATAAAAATAACAAAAAGAGCTTGCGGAGAACTGCCACCATGGTTCCCGCCTTGCGCATGCCGGAACGTAATGATGCCCGAGTGGGCCGTTCTAAAAGTTTCATAAATGAGCATTTCAGCGGAACATGCTTGATGGCAGCACCTTGAGATTTCCCTATGAACAAATTATACCCATGGCAACCTTAACAGCAAACCTTGCGCCATGGCCGCGCTGTCTCACTGGTCGCACTAGTAAATAGTTAGTAGTTTGTTATTTCCCGTCTCCCTTTGTCCAGCATGTCAGGCAGGTTGTTGGGTGGAAACGGCTTCCAGAAGCTCTCTCTGGGCGCTCGCTCCATGTGTCTAAGTAATAACACCAGGGTTTTGTTCACGCCTAGACCGGGGGAGGGTCAACCTGATGACATCAGTGTCCATGACGATGACGATGGAATATCATACCAAGCATTCATTTTTCCTCTTTTGCTACCAGTCACAACTCCTGCCCAGCAGATCCGCCAAGTCCTCCAGATATTTCCTATCCAAATCATCAAATCCATTCTCAATCGTGCAATCAACGTCAATAATAGCCACCACCTTCTTCACCCCACTGCCCTCAGCGCTGGCCAGAATCGGCACCACAATCTCGCTCTTGCTGTCACCATCGCAGGCAATGTGGCCTGGGAACTTGTCTACGTCGGCTACCAGCTGCGTCTTCTGCGTGGCTGCCGCAGCACCGCAAACTCCACGGCCAAATTCGATTGTCTGGCAGGCAACTTTCCCCTGGAAAGGTCCGAGGATGAGCTGAGGTTTCGTGGATGAGGGGTCAAGAACGTAGAAGCCTATATCCTGTGTTATGAATGCCTCTCTTCTATATTTAAATGCCTCCCCTCAGAGGGACTTGGATTTCATACCGGCCCAGTTTACGTCCTTGCTTGGAGAAGGTAAGGACTTGTAGGCGTGCCACAGCAGTGCCGCGGCATTGGCGAGATTGCTGCAGAGGTCAGAGATCTGCACGTCGTCACAAAGCTGTTTACACAGTCATCTTACCAAACCTGGTATCAAATAAGTAAGTATTTGGTCAATCAGACCACATGGTGGAGGTATGGTGTAGGAGTCTCACCCAGTTGCGCTGATCTATAAACAAGCCCTCGGCCTGCATCAAAACCTGCTCATACGCATCATCTTTGGTGACGCCATGGGCAAAATTGGACGCATCAGCGTGAACCTACACACATTAGTGCAAGGGCAGAGCGCAAGGGCCATGGCGATGATATTACCATTTTGCCGGTATTCGATCCTCGGATTTCTTATTGATGAATGAGAATTAAGATCAGTTGCCTTTGAGATTTGGGTAAAATTATATGTACGGCCATTGATGTCGTGATTTTTGAGTGTGGGTATACTTTCTTTAACAGACGCCAAGATTAGTCACCGAAATGGACATGGGTTGACCCACGCCAGGTGCCATTCATACTACACTCTTCGTAACAGATTACGCGCTCTGAAGAAATATTATGGAGTTGCTTAAATTTCTCTCTCCAAACTTTTCATTTTGTATATATATGTGTAAAGTACCTTCAACGCAGTTTACTGTTTCTGAGTCAAGCTAGAGCAAATCTTCCCTAAATATATGGTGTGCAATGCACAATGCTCAGAGTTGCCTTGCAACAAGCCAGGCCTATCTCACCGCAAATAACACACGATAATCCAACAAAAGTCGGAAAAGCGTGCAAAACATAATATGGATTGCTATTCAGCGTAGGCACATCCCAGGAAAATCATCGGCGCCATATCCCATTACTTCAAAACAAGTCAATTGGGTCAATAGGAGCCACTCTCGGCCAGTGGATCCAGCTGACCAATGAACACCACCCACACAACATCGGAGCTCAAGTCATCATCATCACCGTCACTCTTTTTTTCAAGCCAACCTCACAAATTCAGCAAAACAGCTGCCATGAGTGCGCAAATTCCTTGGCGGTGCTGCGCCCGCCGCAGGACCTGCATCCTCATATACAGGCCTATCATTTTACAATCCCGCAGCTCCTATGCATCCCCTCCTGCTCACCAATGGCGGGCAGCGCACAACCAGGTCCCCCCTCGCCGTGAAGCTCGACCTCCCAAGAGCCCGCTACTCAACCCTCCAGCGTCGACTCGACCGCCGCCACTAGACGTTCCGCAGCGGAGCGCATCCAATTCTACATTACAGTATCTCTTCCAGCTAGGGAAGGGCTATCTGAAATTCTACAAAGATGGGCTGAAGGCTGTCATGGCGAACCGCAGGCTGCTTAAGGAGAAGCTTGAGAGGACGCCGCCAGGCGACCGTCCGTCCGTATTCAAGCCTCACTACGTCCCCAAGACCTTCTCCCGCGCGGATTGGGTTCTGTTGTGGCGCGTGCGACACGATATGCTGCGGCTGCCGCTCTTTGGACTCATGCTGCTTGTCATTGGGGAATTTACCGCCCTGGCAGTCATCTACGTCGACGGCGTGGTGCCGTACACATGCCGCATTCCAAAACAGCTGTACTCGGGCCTGCAAAAGGCCGAAGGCCGGCGCAAGGCTGCATTTGACGAACTCGAGGCGCAATACCCCCACGGCGTACTGAGCCCCCGGATCAGCGCGCCCGTCGGCAGAAAACACGTCCTCAGGAGCTTGCATCTCTCGGGCATGATGTGGGATCGCCTGGGCTTCACGCCCCCGGGGATGTGGCAGATCAAGGGCAGACTACGAATGGCATTCCTCGAAGGCGACGACAAGAACCTGATAGAGGACGGGGGCCCAATGGGTCTGGAGACGGAGGAGCTGAGAATTGCCTGTGCAGAGCGAGGGATAGATATTCTGGGCAAGAGTGAGACGGAGCTGAGGAGTTGGCTGGGGGATTGGTTGAGGTTGACGGCGGCCGAGGACATATCTGAGCGGCGGAGACGCATGGCCACGTTGTTGCTGACGAGGTGAGTTTTTTTTTTCAAGGCCAATGGTCCTTTAGCCGGGACGGGTTCGGGAAAGGTTTGAGAGCTGACTCTTTGCAAAACAATATAGGCCGGAGCATTGGCCCCAGCAGCGAGACTTTGCAGTCCCTGATTGGGAATTATAAGGGGTGGGATGTGCAGTGGTGGTGTACAAGTAGGACATTGACAGACGGAGGGATTGGCACATGAGGCGCATGGACGAAGTTGGCACTGCATAGACAAAAAAAGAGCATTTTGGTCTCGTATCTCTGTTGTACAATATAAGCATAGTCTGCACCAACTTTTGGGGTATTCAGAGCATCAAGGTTTTGGGCAGTTGATAGAAGCATTTAAACCACATCATGGGGGAATGACACATTGGCATAACGTCAAGGGCACGCGAGAATGTCTGGTACAGATGCACATGGTGTCGCCAAAGGTCGAATCGATGTCCTAATGGAGTCCGAAACCCGGTGTCGTGCGCGCATCATCTATCCGAGCACGCACTGCCGAGAAGTCTCTCCCAATGTCCAGATATCTTGGTGGAAATGTCGTGCTGGGCCCGGAATAGAAACACTCGACGTGCCTTCGGTATAACTCGAGGCTCCGTTCGGGGAGCGGGTGGCTGGCCCGCCCACCGCGCCTCCCCTAAAGTCTTGACTCCGAACGGAGTAGGCAGGTGTACGGCCGGCAAGCGCACACGAGGTACCCCGAACCCACTGTCAAGCAAACTCCCACAGAGCGCTCAGGGGGGGCCGGAGACAAAAGCTGCGGGGAGGGACTGGACTCAAGGTAATAGCCGAGGGTCAGTACATGCCTCGTGCGGGGAGAACATGGGGAGAGCGGACACGCTTACGGAGTACATGGCCTGGCCGTCCCAAAAATCTCATTGAAATAGTCATGGCAGTGCCCATTGTCAAGGAGAGAGAAAAACGGAGCCAGGCAAAGACCTAATACGGACGCGGTCGCGACACTTATTCTGGAGCAGTGGAGCCCGGCTGCCTTTGGCCGCAGCTTTCCAGCAACGGCACATGATGTCAGGCCGAGGTCTCCCATCACATGCCTACGGCGCTTCGCATTTGCTGCCATCTCGCCCCCAACCAGCCACTAAGCGAAGATGTTAACAGAGAAAGGCATTTAAACTTGAGATCCCACTTTGCCTCCGCATCCCTCCTTTCTGGAAAGCTTCAACTTTGTATTTACGAATCCGGTAGTCCATCTTCATCCCGCCCCTTTTTCCCTCTCTGTTTCAATCAGCTTCATTAGCCATTATCCAAAATGGGTTTCGCTAACGGTGCGTATTTCCACACACGCCCCTTTCGCAATCTTCTCGTCCCCAAGGGACCACGTCGAGCCCCCCCCCCCTCCCCCCCAGCAGGAATCTCGCATGCCGCCAGCTGCGTGGCATGTTCGCAATGGACGGAGGGGCCGGGACGCGGGCAATCAATTGATGGGGAAACAAAGAAACGAGCCTTACTAACACTACCTTGCCTCAATCTCTAGCCAAGTTCCCTGCCTCTGCCGCTTTCGACGTCATCGACAGCGTCCTGTCCGGCTCCGACGCCGAGCGCAAAGACGCCATCAAGCAGGCCAACGGCGTCTTTGCCTTCACCCTCAAGAACAAGGCTGGCGAGACTGAGAGCTGGCACGTCGACCTCAAGGAGTCCGGCCGTGTTGGTACCGGTGTCGGCAAGCCCACTGGTATGGTTTCGTCACCTCCCCCCCTCTTCCTTTTTGACCTACAAAATCTACCATCATACCGTCTTGTCTTGGGCCCGATGCACAGATGGATAGGGGGGAAACGAATTGAAGCTAACTCATGGCAAAAAGTCACCCTCCTCCTCTCCGAGGAAGACTTCGGCAAGCTCGTCGATGGCTCTGCCAACCCCCAGCGTCTGTTCATGTCCGGCAAGCTCAAGATCAAGGGCGACATCATGAAGGCCACCAAGCTCGACCCCATCATGAAGAAGGCCAAGTCCAAGGCTAACCTGTAAATACACTCATTCACGGGGGACTGCAAGGGTTGGGTTCATGGAAGAGGGTGGACGGCGGTGTGTGTCTCCGGGGATTCGGATATAGAAATTCAAGGGGAGGCTATATTTGTAACATAAAACGACTGGATTAGTTCTTCGTTTGTATCACGTGCATTACGCATAGACGAAATACCAAAATGTCATGGCTGAAGTTGCGACTTTTTGTCCCCTGTGTGGTGGCCTATTATGGCTGTCCTGGTGTGGCCATCGTGTAAACCTACACCAATGTAAGCGTCATAGTCCATTGTGGAATTCATAACTGTGCCCCCCGGAGCCCGCCAATCGTTTCCTTGGCGCCTTGACAAGCTTCTTCTTGACGATTTCCAGCTGGGAGGGACTGCTTTTACGAGACCCTGCCAGTAATACCACTGTAACGTGTTATTAGCATCCATCGGCCTCGACGTTGCCACATATCAGGGTGGTGTAGTCGACGCGTACTCACGCCCACGTATTGGTCAAGTTGACCAATTCTTCACTGGAATGATTCTCCTTCATACTCTTTTGCAAAATCCTCCAAAGTCGAACCCAGCCAGGAATCGTACACGGATAGCTGTCACGGTGGAGCGGTGGTCGTAACGAGTGTCCCAGGGTGTGTCAAATACGGGCGCCTATTGTTGACATTGCCGTTAAACGGCGACCTGTGCTTATTCAGGAAAATACTTCGGGCACGTTCGAAACAACAAGAACGATAAGTTACCCGCCAGTTGGAGACGTGGGCGTACTTGAGTGTTGAAGGGGCCGCCGTCAACGGCATTCAAAAGACAAATTTGCCTCCGAAAGTCAGGATAGGCAGCTTCCCTAGGGCGACGGTTTACGCACAGGGGGAGAGCCAGTACATGTCAAAGACAGCGGGATCCACATGTAGAAACAATCTTTGGGCTTCTGTTTTCTCCCAATCACAGCAAGAATCGTTGTGGTGTGCCGTCTATACCGGGTAGTATTCATTTAATATATACGTCTTGAAAATTCAAGAGACGTCAAATCTAAAATCGCATCACAATAGCAGGGGGCTTGTTGTTCAAAATTTCATCAATCTCATCCATAATCTCCGGTGTCAGCTTGTCCACGGCCGCCACGGCCTTGCAATTCTCATACACCTGCTCCGGCCGACTGGCACCTGTGATGGCGGTACTAACATTCGGGTTCTTGAGAACCCACGCCAAAGCCAACGTGCTCATCTTGATGCCCAGCTTATCTGCAATGGGCTGCAGCTTGTTGACCTGCTCGATGATGCCGTTCCAGGTATCCTTTGTCGTGCGGCCCCAGAAGCCCTTGATGAACTCGACGCTGGTCTGGTTGAAGCGCGAATCCTCGGGGATGCCGTCCTTGTACTTGCCCGACAGGATACCCTGGCGCATGGGGGACCAGACAGTCAGGCCTAGACCGCCATTCTCGCGGTACAGGTGGGCGAATTCAGTCTCGACCTTTTCGCGCTGCAACATGTTGTAGGCGGGCTGCTCGGTGACGGGGCCAATGAGGCCGAGCTTGTCGGCGTAGCGCCAGGCTTGGGCGATTTCATCGGCGTTCCAGTCGGATGTGCCCCAGTAAAAGGCCTTGCCAGCGTCGATGATGTGGTTGAAGGCGCGGACGGTTTCCTCTATGGGGGTCTGGCGGTCGGGTCGGTGGGCAAAGATGATGTCGACGTACTCGAGGTCCATGCGCTTCAGAGAGGCATTGACACCTTCGACAATGTGCTTGCGTGAGAGGCCCTTGTTGTTGACAATGTTGTCGCCAAATGCTTGGCCCCAGTACACCTACAGAATCATGAGCATGCCCCGTCGCTTTGTACAGGAGACGGCAGCGGCGCATATGCTCTCACCTTGGTTGAGATGACGAGGTCGTTCCTCTTCCAGCCAAACTTCTTGATGGCCTCGCCCATGACGATTTCCGACTCGCCACCAGAGTATACCTCGGCGCAATCGAAAAAGTTGACACCGCAGTCGTATGCCGCCTTCATACAGGCAAAGGTGCCCTCTGCTCGCCATCATTAGCGCCCGTGAAAATTCCCGAAACAAGGCCCTCTAAACATGGGGTGAATTACCTCTGTCGACGTGGCCACCATAGGTGAGCCATCCTCCGAGCGAGATGGAAGAGACCTGAAGACCAGAACGGCCCAGGAATCGATACGTCATGGGGGGCGTGTCCTCCGGCTTAGACATGGTGGCAGAAAGGCAACACAATTGGCAAAATATGCGGTGAAACGAAGCACTGGAGGCAATGGAACTCCAGAATGAGCCAAGCGAGCTACCTAGTAGTTATATACCCCGCGAGAGGATCATGTTGCTGTGTTTAAAGCTCATGCGGGGCTGATCACCACTAACACTAACCCCCACCATCGCGAGTTGGCCGTCTGACACCTGCCATGAAAACTTGACCCCTCGCGGCGTGATGGAGTCTGAGCGGTTTTCCACGAATCCTGACCCTGACTAAAGCAGCCGGCGCTCCAGTCTGCATTTTTGCGCATCTTCCACCCAAGGGAGCAATGAGCTCTATGGCCTGAGAGTTCGGGACGGAAGCACCTAGTTCTCTAATCGTTACAATTGCCCGCGGCGTGGTCGAGGAACACGAGTAATTGGCAACTCCTGCCGTGTTGGCCTAACTGCGCCGGCGTTATGACGTTGACCGTGTACATTTCGCTCGGATACACGTCCCGGTCAAGAGTCATTCGCTGATATATCGCGCAGGGGGAATTTGTAATCAAATCGGGGCCCGAAGAAGAATCCGCGTGTACTGTGCTGGCGCGGTTTTTGGGATTATACCCGCCCAGTGCCATGTTATTTCCAGGTAGAGGAAAAGTATGCTGCTGCTGCCCATGATATATGACATGCGAATTCTGCCGCTGACATATCTGGACGCCGGTCTCCCTATGCTGTGCCCAAACGGTAGGATCTGAAACAAGGTGCGTTATAGGGTAGGCTGGTTTTTAGACCACGACCTGTGTTTTGCCCTCGCCAACAAAAGTCGGCATCTGCTTCAGGCAAACAAACATGCCCCTCCAGGTACGTACGGTCCGTCTGGAGGTGAAAACAGGACCGGCAGGTCATTCGTGACGTTGTGCATGATACGGAACGGAGTACGGAGTAGTTGCCGGTCGTCTGCATCCATCCGCCAGCCCACTCAAACAAAACACCAAATCTGGCCGAGAGGCGTTAATTTCCATATCACCAAAGGACTACACAGTGCCTGTGAGACACGCCACCAACTGACACAACTGAAAGGTCACATCACACCCTGAGACTGCGAGAAATACAGAACCGGTCTGGCCCATGAGGCCACATGTGGTCATGGCGTACGGAGTTCATGCACACATACTCCGTATTGTAGTACTCCGGTATGGTTTCCGTATGCAAGATCAAAGATTCCCGCGCTGGGGTCCCTAGATATGCAGGGCCATCGCCTGCTTTGAAAGAAAAAGTGGAAAATAGCGGGATACTTGATCAAGGGCATGTGTACAGAAGCAGAAAGTCTGTTGTTGCAATATGGCAGTTACATTGTAAAAATCAAAACATTCAATGCCTAATGTCGTACCCGGAACCCTGCCGGGGTCCCTTCGGTTCGGAGTCGGCGAGCCCTTATTGGGGAGCCTTGGTGTTTCCTGTGGAGGCTTCCACAAACCTGGAGCAATGCGCATTGACGGAGCCGCGAGCCAGGCAGGATATTACATACAACTCCAAGTCAACCCTCCCTCTATGTAGTATAGACCCAAGGGCGGTGTACGGGATACGACATTCTGTAGTTGCTGATGGATTCTGACGAGAGTTGCGGACTCCGTACATTGTATCTAGACAGAACCTCCACAAATAGTAAACACATTTACCACGGCAAAGACGAGGGCCACGGCTTTCCTTGACTCTACACACTGGCCTTTGCACCGAGTACGGATGCAGTGTGGTCCGGACGATACAATTTGTGACAGGGAGGATGAACCCGGAGCTAGCAAATGCGGACGAGCGCAGTGAGCGCCTACTGCGCCGTGACATAGCACTGGTCCGGATCAGATCCAGATCGAAATGAGAGACCTTGCATTAATTAATCTGTACTCCATCAAGTACAGTACGTAGCTGAATCTTGAGCAAACGCCGACCATCAATGCATAAACCAGAACCAATGGAACAGGTACGCAAGCTGCCAATCGCGTAGAGTATTCATGTGTTGTACGATGATGCGAGTGTGTCGGTTCGTTCCTGATGGTCATTTTTACATTTTCTATCTTTTGAGCTTGTGTCTGGACGCTTTGTTGGATATCATCAACTGATTTGTTGTCTCGGACTAGCCGCGGGGTGATGGGTTGTTCGGTTTTTTTCCTGATGGAATCGCGAAAACCACCTCTCCCTTCCAAATCTGCAAATTGAGCACTCGCCTGGCTTTCCTTTTTGCATCGGCTGAGCTGGCTTGCGCTTGTTTGTTTGTTCTGTCTTGAGCCACAGAAGATCTTCGCTGGCGACTTCAGTGGATGCGCACCCATATCCATACCTACGGACGTACTACTTAGTTTGAACAACGAAGATAGTGGACCATTGGAGTTGGAGGAGTCGAGTCTACTACGGTAAGCAGCTGTTCGACCTTCCTGGGGGCGTTCGATGATGGGTTCATGAACGGAGTACTCGTCAAGGTAAAATAAGTGGGCGAGACTTTGTTGTAAACGCGTGGTGCCTCGTCGTATAGGCCAACAATATCTTGATGCTTTATGCGTCTCATGTCGTAATCAATTTTGCAAAATTGCGTCCATGCGGACGTTTCGCGGATGTTGTGGCGATCGTGTTTGTCTGGGTTGGACATTGTGTTATTACAGGCTCCTTGTCATATGTCGCTGGCCAGCACCCTGGCCCTCGTTGTTTTCGGGCCACGATGCGAAGAAAGGTTTAGCGGCTCGGGGCCCCAATCTATAGTCATTTCATCAGCACACATGTGAAATAACAGAATAACAACACAAGTAATAACATGCATAGTGCTGCGTGGCACAGGGTCATTTTGGATAAGCTCGGCCAAATCAACCGTCGACCTTGGTTGTAGTCAAAGACGGCAGTATGTTAGTGCCCTTGCTTGGACTCAGCTGCAGCTATGCGGGAAGGTCTTGCACTTGGCCGCACGTCTGGTGCCCGAGACGCTGTGCCGGCTCGCTTTTCTTTCTTGTATGTTTGATGTGGTGTCTCGCCAACAGAACAGGCAGATCTGTGTGGGGACACCGAACAACATAAACAAGAGCACGCCAGTATGCTGAGATGGCATCTGGAGGCTCTAACAGGAGCCAGATTGAAATGCTCCAGGTCGTGAAGGAGACAGTTGCTTGGCATGGAGCGCACGGAGTAATTGAAGGCAAGATAACAATTGGGGCATGGTGCCCAAGTACGGAGTACCAAATGTTTTGGTGGAGGCGGGAGCCGAGGAGTGGGCTGGCCGACTCTCCCTTGTTGGGGGCTTGACCGTGAGGCTTGACCAAGTGGGCTCCAGTGTGTGCAGTCAGTAATATTATTCCACGCATTAAGTCTGGTTCTTTATGTACTTTGCCTGCAGCAGGCATTGACAACGTTGAACAGCTGCCTTGCATAACTGAGGCGTGTCTGGGCCGTCCTCGGCGGCCTCAATAGCCCGACGGCCCAACTGTCCAACAGTTACAGACCGCGCGGCTCCAAAAGCCCACATGTCCGTCTGTCAACATCGCGGCATCTGACCGGCGGTCGACTCAGGCACTACTGGGCCATGATTATGTTGGTCCAATGTTGTTGTTGTCTGGGCCTGCATTAAACCGACGCCAGCGCCCCAGCCGCCGCCCAGCCGCCCCCAAGCCATTGGAGCCATTGGAGGTTTGGAGCCACTGACCCCTGTCCTGTCCTGGCTTGGCGTCTGCTGAGCAGAGCATCTGCAAATGCCCACATGCCCATGCGCACCGGTGGTAGCACTCAAGCCAGTCGCCAGGCTGCCAGGCTGCCACTGTGTCAGGCTAGTCTCCCCTGCGTGTCTGGAAGCATTCCCATCAAAAGTCATCAGCAGACTTCTGCCCTCACCTCCTGTCCTGTCCTGTCCTGTCCTGTGCGGCCGTATTTCGCTGCCCGCTCCTCCATAACCACGACCCGGCATCACGGCCAGCAGACAGACTTTAACTTGCATTCCACAGTTCGACCTTCCCCCGGTGCTATTTGCATGGCGCCTCAGAAATGATTATTACTGTCCGCCGTCGCTGAGCCCTCATTTACGCCCTTCCCTGAGCCACACGGGCAAACAGCACACAGCCTGGGCAGCCAACGACGAACCTTGCCCTCCCCCCCTTTTCCCGTACCCGTCCGTCTCTGGTCTCCTAGGAGCCTCGTTACTCCACCGAGATTCTGCTTGCTCGTTTCGTCCCGTCGACAACCACACGCCGGCGACGCAACTTTTTCCTCATCGAACCTCGTCTTCTCAGCATCGACACCGACACCCCCTTGTCAGCGACGCGAAGGCCTGCCACGGGCAAGCCATCACCTACCGATAGCATGGCTTCGTCGTCGTCAAACGTTGTCGGTGTGCACTACCGCGTGGGGAAGAAGATCGGAGAAGGCTCCTTTGGCGTCATCTTCGAGGGAACCAATCTGTTGAACAACCAACAAGTGGCCATCAAATTCGTGAGTTGTTGGTGGACAAGGCGCCCTGCTGTGCCTCTTGCTGTCCGTATCATTGCCGATCGTTGACAATTGCTTCTAGGAACCCCGTAAAAGCGACGCTCCTCAACTCCGAGATGAGTACCGGACATACAAAATTCTCGTCGGATGCCGTAAGCTCCACCTTGGTTGACCCTCGTTGTCAACCATGTTTGTATTTTGCAACACGTGGCCATGCTAACCAGTGTGCTAGCGGGCATCCCCAATGTCTACTATTTCGGCCAAGAAGGCCTCCACAATATCCTGGTCATCGACTTGCTAGGCCCGTCTCTTGAAGACCTTTTTGACCATTGCGGTCGTCGATTCAGCATCAAAACTGTTGTCATGGTTGCCAAGCAGATGCTGTCTCGAGTCCAGACGATCCATGAGAAAAATCTGATATATCGTGATATCAAGCCTGACAACTTTCTGATTGGCCGCCCCGGCACCAAGTCCTCCAATGTCATACACGTCGTCGACTTCGGCATGGCCAAACAATACCGTGATCCCAAAACCAAGCAGCACATCCCCTACAGAGAACGAAAATCTTTATCAGGAACTGCCAGATACATGAGTATCAACACTCATTTGGGACGCGAACAATCTCGACGAGATGACCTCGAGGCTCTTGGCCATGTTTTCATGTACTTCCTCCGTGGGGGCCTTCCCTGGCAAGGCCTGAAGGCTGCTACAAACAAACAAAAGTATGAGAAAATTGGCGAAAAGAAGCAGACTACCGCAATCAAGGATCTTTGCGAAGGCTTCCCGGAAGAATTTTCCAAGTATCTTACATACGTCCGAAACCTTGGCTTCGAAGATACCCCGGACTACGACTACCTCCGCGAGCTCTTCACCCAAGCGCTGAAGAACACGGGCGAGGTCGAGGACGGCGAGTACGATTGGATGAAAATCACGAAGGATTCGGGAAAGGGATGGGACTCGGTGAAGAACCATGGAGCTGGCTACCTCCACAACCCAAACGCTCGTCCCGGCCCTTCTCAAATGGAACTGCACAGTGGCCACCGTCCTGGAAATACCAACTCTCATCAGCAAGCACAGAATCTTACCGTCGGCCGTTTAAACGCCGCACAACCCCCTCCTCCGTCACCGATCAAACCGATGGGCAACAGGAAAGATCGGCCAAGCGGCCTCGGCACCACAGGGGCGCAGAGAGCCAGCGGCGTGGGGGGTCTCCGAGGCGATTTGGGTACACCGGCTGGCTCGACTCAAGCTCAATTCCAGAACAGCACCCAGAACCTACCTCAGAGGGGCCAGCAACCGAGCCCCATGGTGGCAGCCGGCCAACCTAACCTTCGTCCTGCCGAGCCTCAGCCCAGCGGTTTCCAGAAGTTCATGAAGACTATCTGCTGTGGTTAGGTGCCTCCCATCAGCTTTTGGGAGTGTTTTGGTATATAGTGCAGTGCCAGCAATCCAGAGGCCGTTCAAGTCGGCCGTCAACCTGTCACGACATATGACTTTCGCCGACGACCGATGTCAGCCCCCGAATCGGAAGATTACTTCTGTTTGAGTTCCGAAGTCTTGGGCAAAATGGCACTGGACTCGGAAGTGTTAAGAACTGACCCTACCGCCGTCCAATGGCGGCGGACATTGAGTGCTGAAACGCGAAAATATCACCACAGGACCTACCAAAGGCGGCAACGAGCTCCAAGGCTACACTCATATCGACAAACGCCGGCGAGGGGAATATCTGGTGGTCATACCGCATCTATGGGGGCGCAAACTCTTTATACGACTAGCATTCAGAAAAAGCGACAAAAAAACTCCAGGCAGTCTTACTAAAGACGGCCCAACGGAAACAAGGGTTGGAAATTTCCTAGTTCCATTTATTTTTCACGTCAGGCATTCCACAACGAAACCATACTTAAAAGCCACTTTCAATGTGCAGCGAAGCACGGCGCAAGGCGGTAACGACAAATAGGTAGCATTGGGCTTACTCGCGATATTATCAGTTTTAGTTTTTCTTTACCCTCCTCCATCGTACAACCTCTCACTCTCTCTCACAAGTCACTCTCACTCAGAGTTATTCTACTGCCACGCCATTGTGTAATTAAAAAATCTGCAAGGGCTTCATGTTTTGTATTCCTGTCTAGTCGTACTAGAGCGACAATTGATGGGGCGGGGGAGGCTGTGCACAAGATGCGATTCTAGAAGTCATGGAAGCGCCGATAACACGGTAAGAAGAAACACAAGGGCAATTGTAGCGTTGATGGGAATATAAGGAGGTTCAGGAGTTCTCTTATGGTATACATCGTAATGGAATAAATATTTTAGTAACATCATAAAACGTCTCGTATACATTCTCTTGAAGGGGGAAGGGGCCATGCTTTAACTAGACACTGGTTGTCCATTTTCTGAATTTTTCAATTCCTTGGACTATATAACCAGACCTCTCCGCATTATCACTAGAATTCAACACCGTTATGTGTACCCATGTCTCCCTTTTGTGTAATAAAGTAATAAATTTGCATCCCAAAAATCCCCACTCAACGGATCGTTCTACGTGAAAAATCTGAATGTCCTCGGGGCCTTTTGACGGAAGGAACAATAAAAAAGCAAGCTGGACATGTCAAGTCTGCCTCCAAACAATTCAGCCCCCAACTGGAAATGGATCACCCTACGTGAGCTTCTGCTTGATGAAGAAGGATCGGAGATGTGACAGCTGCCAGGCGCAGGTGATTCCGATGACAATGAGCTGGATGATGATCCAGCGGACAACGCGGGCGTTGGTCGATTCGGACTGGTCTCTGAAGTCGGCTTCTCGCTCCTGTTTTGCTTACAGCATCAATAACATGTCCAACTATCAGATAGGGGGGTGGGAGAGGGAATGCTTTTTGCAGCGGGTATATGGAGAGTTTTGGGAGCACAAGCGGAGAAAAGAAGAGACATACTCTCTGGAAAACCTGCTCGCGGCGAATATCGTGCAATCTGGCGTTTAGGTCCTTGACGCGCGACGCAATGTCCTGCAACTTGTCCTTGTCGCTGCTCTCAATCTGGCCCGTCTCGCCGATAACTAGGTCGAGCTTCATCTTGATGCCGCCGTTGGGGCTGTGCGCCGAGAGCCATGAGGACCGGCCGGAAGTAGACGAGGGCACGAAGCAAATCTTGTGGTCGCCGGCCTCGTGGGCTGTGAACGTGAAGCGGCCCGAGGCGGAGCCGCGCTGGGAGACGATGCGGTGGTTGTTGTCGAAGACTTCCTGTGCAGATGTCAGCATCTTGTTGATGGGAGATTGTGCACGTGCTGCTGCCCTCTGCCACGGGGGGCCGCAGACGGAGGAGGAAAACTGGAAGGGATACTCGTGGTGGTGGTCAAGGTGACACGTACATCCACGGAAATGTAGATTGAGATCCCATTATGCTGCTGCCAAGCATTAACCCGGTCGTCGTACTCCTCAGCAGAGTAGTGTCCGACGACAAGCGTATCCTTGGGCAACTCCTCAAAAAAGCATTTTGGCGAGGCGCCGTCGACGAAGAAGTAGAGAGCCTGTGTGGCGGATGCCAGCGACAGTAGAGGCAGGAAAGTCTTCATGTTGTGTTTCTATGATCGTAATTAAACCGTGTACTGTAAAGCAAAACGGCACACTTTGGTGAAATGTAAAAGAAGTAGGCCGTCGTCAACGTCTTCATCCGTTGTGCAGCGCAAAAAAATTGCAATGTTGATTGCAGTTATGGTGTTTCACTGCACCATCAGCCTTGATTCCTCGCGAAGCTGCCACGTTCAAAAAATGGAGCTCCTTTCGCGGGATATGTCAGGGGGGTCACTAGGGGGGAGGAGTGCAGTGGGGTCACGTGCAGCTGGGACGCCGATAGGCAAACCTTCGCCGAACCTTCGCGTCATCCTCCAAGCGACAAATCGATATCAAAACCCCATTCGAGAGCCTACCGTCAAGTCCTTTTCGACAGTGACGCCCAATTTAGTCGATGCTCATTCCAATCGTTTGAGCGTTTGTTACGGTTTGTTTCGAAGTAGACAGGGTTGGGACAGGCCTTTTCTTTATGGCTTGATGCAGATGGCATAAGACTGTCCTCGACCACTATTTCCCCCCTCCCTATCTGTCGCCATCTGGACCCTCGCCCGATTGCGCCCGGACATCTGCGAAACGAGCGAAAATGACATCCTCTGATGTCCGCGACGTTCTCAACCTGGGAGACAGTTCCTCTGGCCCGCGACCGTCTAAGAAACAGAAAACCGGGCCGCCGAAACCGAATCTCAAGGGTCTAGCCAGAGAAGTCCTCAATCTCGGAGGCGATAATCCTGTATCGATAATACCGGCCAAGAACCAATTCAAGAAGAGGCGCCTTGGGGGCCGCAAACCGGCTGCGCGATGGGAACTCCGCGAGTTCCGCAATTCAGGGCGCGATGATAGGTCATTGATTTTGCGGCATTGGCGACGGGTAGATACTAAGGATCTCACCGCATCTAGTGGTGAGCGTCAGCAGCAGCTCGAGACGCAGCTGCAAGATGGCGCACAGTCGCAAACACGCGGGCAGGAGCAAAATGGAGAGAAGAAAGAAAGCGAGGCGGAACGAGACATAGAAGACTCAGCGTTCGCCAAATTCAACGTGAAGATCCAGGTCCCTCAATACTCGCAGGACCAATACCAAGTCTCGCTGCAAAACGAGGACTGGACAAAGGAAGAGACGGACTATTTGATGGATATGGCAAGCGACTTTGATCTCCGTTGGCCACTTATCTGGGATCGATACGAGTATCAACCTCCTGCGACTAATGGGGCAACCGACGCGGACGGGGACGAGAGTAAGGCGATTGTCCCCGCTACGAGACCTCGGTCAATGGAGGACCTAAAGGCTAGATACTACGAGGTGGCTGCCAAGATGATGGCCGCCCAGAAACCGGTGCAGTACATGACGCAGCAGGAGTATGCGCTGCATGAGACCATGGCGCATTTCAATCCTAAGCAAGAGAAGCTGAGGAAGGAATTTGCAATGAATTCCATGTCGCGATCAAAGGAGGAAGCCAGAGAAGAAGAGTCATTGTTGCTGGAGATCAAGCGGATAATGGCGAGGAATGAGCGATTCAACGAAGAGAGGAGAGAGTTGTATAACCGGTTGGATTATCCTAGGGCCGAAACGGACATCAACCCATTCAAGTCTTCGGCTGGATTGCAGACCTTGCTGCAGAATCTTATGAGTACGGACAAGTCAAAGAAGAGGAAATCCATCATGGGCACCGACAGCCCGGCTGCCACAGGGCCTGGCGCGGCTGGAGCGGCTCAAAATGCAGCAGGTCCAGAATCAGGGAAACGAGAGAGTGCTGCTGCGTCGAATGCTGCGACTCGTGAATCTACGGCAGCCACGTCAACACCCACCGCTGCCAATAAGAAGGCTCAACAACAACAAGAAAGGCAGCAGCAACAAGCCCCAGAACGCAGGAAGCTCAACAGCCAGGAAGAAGCTGTATATGGTGTTACACATCATGACCGACTTGGCTCAGGACCTACGTTTCGGACCGAAAAGATTAACAAGCTGTTCTCTCACAAATCAAACCAGCAGCAACTCCGTATTAATAACACTCTTAACGAGCTGGATGTTCCGGCTAAATTAGCGATGCCAACTGCTGCGACCACTCTGCAATATGAACAACTCCTGGCTGCTGTAAACAGTTTACTAGACGCGCGAAAGGTATCAGACAAACTCGATGGCGAGATCAAGATCGAGCAGGCTAAGAAGGCAGAGCGAGAGAAGAACCAAGGCCCTGCTGCCTCTGAGAAGGAGACTGCTCCGGCGGACAGCGAGACCAAGACTGACGACGAGGGTAAGAAGAAGCCTGAGGACGTTACGACTTGTGGAGACCAGCCAGAGTCTGCGGAGAAGGCTACCGGCTCGGCTGGTGAGGACAAGGCCGGCGATGCCAGAGACCAAGAAGTACCACCTGCAGGGACGGGTGAGGGCGCTGAAGAGTCGACCTCCAAATCGGAACAAGACCAAGAGGCCTCCGTCGCCGCAGAGAAACTGACAGCAGTCGAGCCGGAAAGGGAAAAGAGCGCTCGGCCGGGAAGTAGCAGTGGTGCCCACAAACGAAGTGCCAGTGTATTAAGCAGCGTGAGCGACAAGAGTGCCAAACGACAAAAGAAATGATCATGTACCTCACAAGTACATTCTACTCAATCCGTACGCGCCGTGTTGACGGACGCCAAAAGTCTTCCCTGGACTCTTTTCTTCAAACTTTTCCCCAAGTGTTTAAAATAGTGAACGAGAAGGGTCACTGGGAAAAAAAAAAGGGGGGGGGGGGGGGGGGGGGGGGTTAAGGGTTTTTGAAA